CATTAGCAGTTCACAAATAAGGTTAGGTATAACATGCTTATGGATGGGGTTGTTCTTACCCCACAAATATTCGTCCCCATCCCATTAAACTTCCTATTATAAAATTACCAAGTCCATCCCAACAGTGGCTTAGTCTATACTATTCCATACCCACCCACGTAATGAGTAATGACCAAGTCCATCCATTGTACACCCACTGCATTAATAACACTCCAATCAACACCCACCTAATTAGTGACTAAACCCACCCCCAACAACATACAAACATGAAACCCATGTAGAGTTTGTTCAACAACAAACAAAACATGAAAACCATATTCAGTTACGAAGACATTGATATTTTAGAGACGGGATTATTCCCACCCTATGCATATGCCATACATGGTCAATACTATACACTAGAATATAGGTGTGGAAATTGGGAATGATATAGCAAGAGAAGAAAAGATTAATAATCTCTTTTATGAAGAAAAAAGAAAACATATTCTTGTTTCATCATCACATAACAAAAGTATCTCAATTTCATGAAACTAAACGATGACATAGAATTCAAAGAAAAAGAGAGATAAATGACCCAAAAGGTAATCATAAATATTCCTTTACATGAAATTAAAAATCAAAGCAACGACCATACCAACAAATCAATTGATATAGTGTACGAACGAAAATAAATAAAAGGATTTGAGAAATTACCAGTTCCTGTGTGCGTTGATTTGAGTAGTCGAGCAAATCCCTGACAAAACTTACTCTTTCTTCCTTCACATAAACTTCTGTAACATGACGAAAAATTATTTACTGTTTATCAGCTTTTCGATCCTAGATCTGCTTTATAATGAGGTTCGTTGACAAGTTGAGTTCATGAAGTGAAGAACCCCAATCAACACAGCCCGCAATTTTAAACTTCGCGGTGCCTTCGACCGTTTCTTCCTTGAAGTAGACTCAAATAAATGCAATGCCATTTGGATTTTATTTTCTACCCCAAGTTAGTGAAATTGGTAACGGGGTATAATTAATATTAAAATTATTTTTAATTTAATATTAATGATTTAATTAATTAAATAAATTTAAATAGTATTTTCTTAAAAAAAATAGGATTATGACACTTTTTTCAACATTTTTATAATTTTTATTTACACTTTAAATATTAAAAAAAATTATTTTCTTGAATGACTAATAAATACAACGAAAAAGGAGTGTGAAGACTTTATAAGGCACAAAAAGTATTATTTGCTAAAAAAATATCTATAACAGAGGTCAAAATTTTGAGAGTGCAAAATAAAAAAATCACATAAAATAGATATTGAAAGATGCTTTGGACCTGAAAATATTTTAAATTTTTTAATTTATAACATGAAAAATGAAATTTTTTATATTTAACATTCAATGAGAAAAAAAAAAGGTAGTAATATCATCTAAAATCAAAAATCTGTTGCTTTGACTGAAAATGTATTTATTGTACTTTTTATATTTTCCTATTTGTTGCCTAATTATTTGTAAATTACTTGATTTTAATTACTTTACATGAAAACAAAATTCTCAATTTTATTAAACACATACAACATTTCTACCTTTTTCTTTAATAGAGGATTCAATTTTAAAATTTTAAAATTTAAATTAAAACTAAAATTTTAAAGATGTTTTCAATTTTAATTGTCATTTGCTGTAAAATCGAATAGTGAGACTAATGGGGATGAAGGTCCTCCGGTCATAATCCCATGATTTGTGGAATTGAGTGTTTCTTTGAAATAAGAATGTGTTTCTTTTTCTAGTTACCAAATATTAGAATGAGCATTCTCATGTAATGCTCATTCTATTCCTAACACGTAATACCACGTATCAAATGCAACGTAGAGTCTTTGAGTTGCTTTCTACTCTAATTTATCCAAATTGGCCCGATTTTTTACCTTTTTTTTCGGTTTATACGCTAACTTCATAATCGTTGTAATTTTCCCAAAAATTAATGTTCTTAGAGAAAGTATAATTGAAACATTTTTATCATCGTGCCAAATAAAAAACAACATATAAAGAGACAAAGCTATACATGATAGAAAATGCATGGACATGAACCTAAATTAAAAAAATTAAGTAGTAGAAAAAGTAAACTTTGACATAGCTATAATTCCCAATGTGTTTTGAGGAATAAAATATCAAAATTTGGAAGAGAGCAGCACACTTGGACTAAGGATTAAAGCTATACCTTCTATCTAAACTGAAGAGACCTCCATGAACGAGCAGAATTCAACTGTGCTCCTACAGATAATAAAATAATCTTAAATTAGTGACACATAGAAAGTTCGAGCAGAGACTAGAATTAGTTTTGCTAGGTTGGGGAAGGGTATAGGGGGGAAGTAAAAGGAAGGACGGTAGGAAAATTTATTGAAGAACTAAGAAAAGTGAAGTGATATAAATGTCATGCACTTTGGCTTCGTCTTTTAAAATTCATTTGACTAAACTAAGGCGACCAGCTGTGACAAAAAAAAAATAGAGAAGATCTATTATTATGAAGACGAGATATTAAGAAGAGGAGAGATGAGAGATGAGAGATGAGAGATGAGAGATGCATTTTCTTTTTTGTGTTTTTTGATTGAGATGGGAAAATAAGAAATAACTAAGTTCAAAAGATAAAATACTAACAAAAAAAAAAGAATTACAAATTCTTCCTTAAAAAAAAAAAAAGAAAAGAAGATTGGTTAGAGAAGAAGGTCGAAGAACCTAGGAGAAAGATAGAGAGGGAGACAAACAACTCATTTAGTGGGAATTAGACACTCTTAATTATATTTTCGCATAATTTCACTCAATGGTAGATTACTCATCTTGTGTGACTGATATATCTATTTATAAATAATGAATATTACTTGAATGCGTGGTAAATGATCAATTATTGAATATATGTGTAGCGGAGAAAATTTTAGTATCTAGTAAAGGATAAGAGAGAGGTGTCCATTTTTTGCCAAAAAATAAAAAGTTGAACGTCTATTAGATGTTAACTAATTACATGGGTGGTAAAAAGAAAAATATTATATAACTCAAATAAAACATAAAATTTAAAATTTAATTGCATATCATCTATTGGATAAGTGTAAGGCAAGTGAGTCCCGCTGAAAAAATTAATGAGACCCACTCATTTAAAAGATGATATACATTTGAATTAAAATTTTTTGAGTTTCATTTAAATTTTGTAACATTACTCACGATAAAAATGCTAAATTTATAATTACATGGGCAATATAATTAGTAAATTTATTATTGCAAGGTAGAAAATACACCCATTCATGCATAAAAATAACCACCAAGTTGCTGTTGGAATTGTGAATCATTTTCTTAGTTAACACGGCCAGACCCGACCCAACCCAGGTTAAGACCTAGACTTTGACCTCTGACCCGACCCCGATTTGATCCCCAAACTCGACGAGTGATTGTAATTGAGATTAAAAAATGCCACAAAATATTAAAGAACGATAAATCTTACACTAAATGGAATTAGATATCCTATGATAATAAGAATAAATTTTCATTATTACAGACCAAATATTACAATGTGCATCCTATGATAATTGGAATGAATTTTCATTATTACATACCAATTATTAAAATGTGTATTACTAAATAATATGGTCACTGTATTCTCTTGCTTTATTATCTCTTACTAGAAATGTTGACCGTTGAACAAAAATAGATTATTTTTTATAGTATAAATTACATTCACCTCCCTGAGGTTTGGACAAATAATAACTAAACTCCTTTTGTATGAATAACACTCTACTCCTCTGTCAGGGACAGCCGTTTTATTTATGTGACAGAGAGAACTAAATGACTATATTGCCCTCGACTCCGCCCTCCCCAAATCATACTTTACCTAAATTTCATCTAAACAACCGCCACTAGCCATCGGCCGCGTTGACTTCACCATGGCTATGATGGGTACGGTGCCAAATTTAGATCCTATTGAGGGTTTCAGTGGTTTGATTCTGAATGACTCTCTGACTCATTTTCTTGTGCGTTAAACAGAGCACCACCAGGAATTGCTATCAAGTCATCGTCTGAACATCTGGGTGTTCTGATCAGGTCATCAGAAAGATTATAATGTACTTTATCAGTTGAAAATACGTTATTCCATCTTCCATGCCAGTGCCCATCATCATCTCAAACTGCTCAAGCTTCTGAGCCACATTAGCCATGTCCGACGATCGGATTTTGTAACCCAAAATCACCACTGAAAACACCTTCCCCGTCGACGCTGGCGCCTAAAGAACTCTCAGGGTTATCACGATTACGATCTCTCTTCATTTTTTATTCAGATGGGTATCTAAAAATCGATTCTTGAACAACAATTGAGTAAAGAAACTTGGTCACCTCAAGGGGGTAAAGAAACTTCACATTTTGTTAAGAAGATTCTCTCTCTCTTACTTCCCCACTCCACTCAGAATCTCAGGTATATATAAAATTGGTTGAAGATGAATTGAATTGGGTTTGGTTGTAGAATTGGGTGATGGAAGGATTGGCGGGTAAGGGTGCTGGAGGGGTGGGAGTTGTGGTGGTTGACGCTGCAACCCTGGGTTTGGGTCCAAAAGCTTCGATCTCTCCCCCCCCCCCCCCCCCCCCGGCCCCCAAAAAACCCAAAATCTTCGACATGGTGGCTGCTACGTCACCTTAAAATATATATTAGTTTCATTATGTATTCCAATAAATTTATATATAAAGGGTAAGTTTGGTATTTTGTAAAAAATAAATTGCTTACATCAGTAACACTCTAGCATCTGACTAACGACACATTAACGCATGGGTTAGTTTATTATAGACAATCAAAGCAGAGGAGATTGCAGTGTTTTTTTTCGTATAAGAGGGGTCTAGTTGTTATTTGATCAAATTTTAGGGGAGGTGGATGTAATTTAACCTTTTTTTAAAAATATTTTTGGGTTAAAATGTCTTATCCAAAAGACTCATAATTCATATTTTAAAAATACAAAATCCATGAGAGAGAGAGAGAGAGATTTCATAAATTAGTTACAGTTAGGACCCTCTCCTGCGTTGATGCCGCGTTATTCTAAGCAGTGTCGCTTTCCAACGCCTCTTTCTTCCAATCTCCGAGACATAAGCAACGCCCTCTCTCTCTCTCTCTCTCTAACAAAACCCTAATTCATATGCTAATGTCTCCGTTTGGACCCTCTGATTTTGTCCAAAATGCAAACTCCAGAGCTGAAAAACAGACAAAATTGGAATTTTGAGAAAACAAACAGGTACCATTCGCCCATTAATTTTTCTGTATAATCGGCAAGTTAATCATTTCCATTTGGGTATATATGATTTTCTTCACAAAGAAACATCAGAGTCATCTATTTGATGCATACCACCATTTCTATTCTTATGATTTATAAATTCTATTTCAATATTTCATCATCTGTTATTTCATTATTTTTTCTGATTTTTTTTTTTTTTTGATTGATTCTCCGTAGTTGTTTGAACAGTTGAATGTGACTATATGAATAATGAAGCACTGTGAGATTCTGGGCAGCTGTGAATTTCTTATAATGACAATTGGCTAAAAACGCAAAAGGACCGCGATTCTTTGTGATTAAGTTGCTAGAGTTGTAAGGGATATGTGTTGTCAAGGATCATTGATAGGACAGCAGTAGTCTGTAGGAAAATTTCATGTACTCGAACCATTGTAAAATGTTGTTCATTGTCCAAAATTTTGGCTACTGTTGATGAATTTTGAGGTTTTATTGGAGGACATAGGCATTTGAAGATTAAGAATTTTGGTATTCTTAGCGCAGTTCAAGTTGTTATTTGAAGAGATTAAGAAGTTAAGAAGCAATTGAACAATATTCTGTGCCGAGTTTGTACATCAGTCAAAGTCTTAATGTGACTTCCTTGTTAAAATTTTGGAGATGCTGTTGCACTATTCTAGTGGAACTCTATTGGCATTGAGAACCTAGGCTCCAAAGACCAGAGACTGCTCATGTTCAGCTAAATTCATCTTGTATATTGTTTGAGACCATGACAAGTGAAGTTCCTAATACTTCAGGCCAACAGCATAACAATGATTCAGCCAATGTTGTCCCAAGTGATGAGTTCTATGGAAATGAACGTGCCCACAATATTTCCATACAGACAGGTGAAGAGTTTTCTGCAGAGTTTCTTCGGGATCGTGTTACACCAAGAAGAGTACCAACCGTGACTGATATGGATCAGCAACAGCAAAAGAAAGTGGGTTTTAGTGTTGTTCGAAATCATCAACTTGTTTATGAGGATCTTACTGGTCTTCGTGGGATAAGAAGAAGGGATTTTGATAGTGGAACTGATTTCACAGATTACTCTCCTGGGAAGGGACCAGAACTAGAGAATAGGTCATATTGGGACGTGGTAAATAGATACCAGAGAGAATATAGTGCAGGTGGTCATCAACCAGGGAGGGTTTCCAATGAAAGAAATTCTGACAGAGCTACTTCTAGTCCAACTTGTCCACCAATGCATGCATCAGACTCCCCTCATTCCTACCAGCCTTATAATCATGCGCCAGGAGTCTCAGATGGTTCTTTCACTGGAAAAATGAAGTTTCTATGCAGCTTTGGGGGCAAAATATTACCGAGGCCAAATGATGGGAAGCTTAGATATGTGGGTGGGGAGACAAGGATTATATCCATCAGGAAAAATTTGACTTATTCTGAACTTGTGAAGAAGACCTCTGCGATTTGCAATCTACCTCAGACAATCAAATACCAGCTGCCTGGAGAGGATCTTGATGCACTTATATCTGTATCTTCTGATGAGGATCTCCATCATATGATAGACGAATATCATGATTTGGAACGAGGTTCTCAAAGGCTACGGATATTTCTTGTATCTTGTAGTGAATCTGAGAGCCCATCTTCTTATGAAGCGAAGACCGTACAGCCAAGTGATGCTGATTATCAATATGTTGTTGCAGTTAATGGCATGCTTGATCCAAGTCCCCGGAGGAGCTCCAGTAGAGAGAGCCTGGCGAGCCAAGCAAGCCAGTGGGGAAATGCCTTGGACTATAGTCCAACTCTTCAAAGAGACTCACCTACTTACTTTCATCCACTGGAAACTCGGAATGGGGGCAGTTCCGCGAATTTGATGTTGATGCTGTCAAATCCCACTGCTCAGTTATTTAATACACCCCAGGTCCAGGCTCGTTCGTGCCATGATGATATAGACCAACTAGCATATGTCGACGCCAACAGTTATTATTATAATCATCCTCTTGATGCTGTGCCAGTTAGAAATTACTACCATCAGAACAAACATCTGGTAGCATCCAACCAGACCCATGAAGTGCGTTCTGACAATCGTAGCCTCAGTAAAGATTTTGTATCTTCTCCACTGTATGGTCATACTGATGTGTACTTGGAGAGACCAGAGCTTAATGAGATCGCACTCCATTCTGAAAAGTTACCCTCTTCTCAAGATACAATTGTTCGGATGCCTAGATCTGATGTTACAGTTGGATCTCATTTAAGAATGTCTAACACCCTTTCTGACTCACAACAGCATGAAGAGCAGTCCAATTATCCTTTAAAAGAAGGGATGGAACTATCCCCTCTCTGTTTTGCAGCAGAACAATCGCCTTCCCTTATGATGTCAACTTCCTCAAAAGAGTGGCTACTTCCAAAAAAAGAGATGACAGATGAGACACACCAAGTGGCTATGAATGAGAATCAGCCTACTCTCAAGGCACCTGATCTTAACATGGAATATATTGAATGGGGTCAAGATATGATAAAGTGCATGGAGAAAGAAGATGCTTGTTTGGGTCAAGATAGGGCAGACCATGAAGGAAATGGCAACATAGCATCACAGGGTAACACTATGGAATATAAGATGAATTCGCCAATTGTTAATTGCTACCCAGACCCAAAACTCGAAGTTCATAATGTGCCACGAGAGGCACAAGTTGCTGGAGTCATACACCATGCTTTAACTGCTGCTGATCTTGAAACTACTTCAAATGTTTTCGTAGAAAATCCGGGTGATTACCAGTTAATTCCATCTGCACCTGAGTTTCTTGTCAAGAACCAAAAGGCAACCAAGGATCAACAGCATTTTGTGACTGGAACAATAAGCAGTGATGTGATTCCGCACAGATCTCTAAGACTGAAACCTTTTGCATATCAGGGTATAGAGGGAGAAGAACACATGCTGTCAAGCCTTGTAAATTCAATTTCATTCCCAAGAGATGAATCAAGTTCGTCCTTAAACTTGAATGACTCTATTGTCACTGATTTTTGTTTACTGAATCCAGCCACAGATGCTGCTTTAAGTAGTGAGGTTTCTCTCCATGAAGAGGATAAAATGAATGATTATGGTAAGAGTGTTGAAAAAGAAGGCCCTGAAGGAAAAGCTTGTGAGGTATCAAAGTTTGGAGATGCCATCTTTTTCCAATCTCATCCTTCCATTAATCATAAAGACAGTACTGTGCCAGAATTGACTGTTATTGTTGAAGACGTAACTCATAGGATGCCTACTGGTGTCCCCTCAGTCTCTACAGTTGTCCCACATGTTGAAGATGAGCCCAGTGATGGAGTTCCATCCCCTAGAGAAACAGAGACTGAAAGCATCACCCCAGAATCAGACTGTGAGGTAACTTACTTCTACATCAATTCTTAGATATGGACGTTTAAGTTGAATTTTGTTGAAATTTTTTGAAGTTAATCCCCAGTGTTTTATAGGATGCCAAAGTTGAAGGCAATGATAATGATGAATCCATTAGTGATGCTGCAATAATTGAAATGGAAGCTGGTATCTATGGTTTGCAGGTTCAAAACTGGAATCATATTTTATATACTCATTTCCCAGTACCAGTGTTCATCCTTATCATATTTTTTGCTGCTTTTCTTTTCTTCACTTGTTTATATTTTCTTATTGGCCTGTTTGTTGAGCAGCAGATGGTGTTGACATCGCACTTATATCTAATATTTAGTTGAAAATGCACTAATTTTAATTGTTCTACCATAATGTAATGATGAACACAAGTGGCTGTCAACTATTTTTTTTTAGAAACATTGCATCTATTGATCAATAAAAGAGTTGAAACATTATTCATTAATGGCAATACTTTTCATGCTTTAACAGAAGTCTTTTTGATTTTCGTCAGTGCTTGCTTAATTGAAAACGCCTCTATGTTATGATGAAAACCTTAGGAATTGGTGGCAACACATGTATAAAACATCCCAATTTGAGTGAGAATGAAAGAATCAACCTAGTACACAAAATCATGTAATGGGATTGCTCAAAAGTAGTACTTTATGATGTTACAGGGCCTGCCTATCTTAATTACTGATTTGTTGCATCTAAACTGAAAATAGAGCATTTTCACCTTCAAGATTGAGTAAAGTAATTAATACTTCTTTATTTGATAAATTTTTTGTTTCTTATCCCGAAAAAAAAAAATTTGGGTTGAAATTCTATATGTGTAAGAAAGATTTATCTATATGTGTAAAGCTTTTATCAACACATTTATCTATATGTGTATGGTATTGGTGGGAGTTTTAGGGCTGAAATTCACTTGAAGTGTTAGAAGCTTACAGTAATATATACATTTTGCGTATGTGTTTCTCCTGCAAGGACACTTCCTGGGTTTGAACCTCAAATCTATAGCATATGAAGAAAAGAAGGTGTAGGATTTCAAAAAAAGATGTTTTCAATAAATGTATGGAGCAAATGTCCCTGAATTTTTGTAAATGCTTAATGAACATTATTCATGTGATGTCAAATAAATGAATTATGACACTCAATAACTTGTCTATCAGTCTCACTTTGTCTGAAAATGTGGGTTAGGCTGTATCGCCAATTGAAATGATGCTGGCACTTTAACAGTGAGAAAGCTTATTTTTAAGCTTACGTCAAATATGTGGTGTGGTGCTTCAATCATTATCAAATATCAAGGTGGCCTGATAACTTTTGTAAAGTGCTGATATGTATGCCTTTGGGGAATGTTCTTGGTATGTCCTCTGTACATTGAGAAAGATGTAGATTATTGATAAAGTAGAGTGACATTGAGATTGCAGGAGGGCTTCGCAGTTTTTTTTTCTTATATTTTGATTCAGTCATATCTCATATGTTTTGGGCAAGAAAACTTGTTTCTGGAAAAGAGTTTGGGCTAGGATGTGAGTTTTAAGCTCCATTGTGTGCTTTCTGTAAATGTGCTTTATTTGTTTCATCCCTCTTTTTATTCAAGCCCCAATCTAAGTTATTGGCACAGCAAAAACTAATTACTGAGATATATGTAATTGATAGTTAAAAGAGAGTCTCACGAGAAAATGAAATTTTCAGAAGCATTATAACTAGATCTCATCGATTGTTGACTAAAATTGAACCTATTGCAGCTTGAACTTGGATCCCACTGTCTTTTTTTCCCTGTTTGTGTTGCTTTTTTGAAGTATTGGGCTTACATTGTTCATATGTTATTTTGCATGAAATTTGATCTCTAATATCTGGAAACAAGCAGATATAGGCTTTGAAATTAGAGCATCCAACCCAAAACCAATTGGCAATAGGTGGAGTGGCCCCTCAAGTATATAAACCAGCCTTTGGTCTACTAAATTTTTGACGTGGAATAGCTCCCTTCACACCTTCCCTCACGTGCAATTCGAACTCGCGTGTGGGCTAACAAACTAAACTGAAACAGACACACAAATAGACTGGAGCTAAATCGAAATAGACTGACAAACAAACCAGGGACCATGGAACTCAACTGGGGAGAGACTTAATACACCAACTAACCATTGACCAGCTCTGATACCATGTTAAAACATCTAGCCCAAAACTAACTGACAATATGTGGAGTAGTCTTTCCAGTATATAAACCAACCTTGGGGCTACTAAATTTTTTAATGTGAGATAGATCTCTTCACATAAAGAAATACTGTAAAGAAAGGGGGATGAAAATTTTGTAACAAAACAGCGATAAAAATTATAATGCAAACTTTAAAATCATAATTCAATTTCATAAATAATAGGTCATGATAATAATTTACAGAATAAACTAAGGAATTAGATGACTGATAAAATTAAATGCATGAATTGTTGGTGGTTGATTTTGATTTATTCCATCAATCTATAGGGCTTCCATTAATTATAGATTTGTTAAGCTGCTGCTTTCCCCACCCCGTCTGCAGATCATGCAAATTTGTTATAACTCATGTTTCGGATATTATGTGCAGATCATAAAAAATGCTGATATTGAAGAGCTACAAGAGTTGGGATCTGGTACGTTTGGAACTGTGTATCATGGGAAGTGGAGAGGGACAGATGTTGCCATCAAGAGGATAAAAAAGAGTTGTTTTGCTGGGAGATCGTCAGAACAAGAGCGGTTGGTAGGTCCCCAAGTTAACCACAACACAAGGAGATGTCTATCTGTGTAACATCATTGAATATCTCTTATGTACTTGAGGCAGTGAAAGAAAGAAAGAAGAGGTGCTTTACTATTTTTGTGGACTCTGACCTATGATCTATTTCTTTTGACAGACCAAAGACTTCTGGAGAGAAGCGCAGATTCTGTCAAAACTTCACCATCCAAATGTGGTTGCACTTTATGGTGTGGTTCCTGATGGACCTGGGGGAACATTTGCTACTGTAACTGAATTCATGGTTAATGGGTCATTGCGCCATGTCCTCTTAAAGAAGGATCGGTGAGTTGTCAATTTCTTTTTTTGCCTTCTGTGCACTTTGTTATAGACTTGGACTCATGCAATCTTGAAATGCTTCTTGCAGAGCGCTTGATCGTCGTAAAAAGGTTATAATTGCACTGGATGCTGCTTTTGGCATGGAGTACTTGCATTTGAAGAATATCGTGCATTTTGACTTGAAATGTGATAACTTGCTAGTCAACATGGGAGATCGCCAACGACCCATTTGCAAGGTATATCTGTATGTTTGGGTGAAACAACATATCCTCAAGATTCTTTTGATGATACATTTAAATGGAGACCATTATTTTTTTGTACATACACCATGAGATTCAGATGTGAAGTTAGTTCTTTCAAATATTTTGTTCCTTATTGCTAGTTTCAATTCTGTTCTCTCAATTTTGGTTAAAGGTAGTTCCAAAATCATCATGGGAAATTACCCGCTTATGAACTTTCCAAATTCACATTTTATGATTGTCAATTTATCTGTTCCTTTTCTCAAGCATGATTAGTAGGACTTTCCTTTTCAGGTTGGTGATTTTGGATTGTCAAGAATTAAACGCAATACACTTGTTTCGGGTGGAGTTCGGGGAACACTTCCATGGATGGCACCAGAGCTGCTGAATGGAAACAGTAGTCGAGTTTCTGAGAAGGTAAGGACTAAGCTATTATTTTATCTACCATGCATTCTGGACTTTCGAGGAACCTGGAAGATGGAATGATGCTGTCTCAGGTACTAAATAAAGAAGCATTGGTATCTTTGTTCTTTTCTCTTTCTTTTATTCCTCATGCATTGTGATAGGTCGATGTATTCTCATTCGGGATTGCAATGTGGGAAATCTTGACGGGAGAAGAGCCCTACGCAAACATGCATTGTGGTGCCATAATAGGTAAGCTTTTGTAAATATGGCAAGGCCTGGTTTGTACTCTTCATATGAACTTAGCCCTATTTTCACCCACCAACATGAACACTTAAAATAATACAGGCTGCAAATCTGCATACTAATTAGTGAAGCCTATGCTTCCTTAGGATTTGTGACCTGATAGTTCTAAGAAACACAGACACTTAATATTTGATATTGCTATCAGGGGTGAACACATGCAGACACCAACACTTCTCGGGGAGACTATCCGACACACATCTGGTGTTCTTTTGGTCATGGCCATAATGCAGAAATAGAATTTAATATCGACAGATGTTCAACACTTCTTTAACAATGTGTGGGGCACTTACTGGGTTCTGTTCATGACTAAAACGTAAACACGTGTCCAAAACTTCTTGAATACTTACTGAAATATTATTATCAAAGCTTGTAAAGTTGACATATGAGTAGCTTAGGATTATATGCTTTGAACTTATGTTAATTTCCAATAACAATAAGGTGCCTTCTCTAAGATAACCTTTATATTTGATATTGCTTTCTAGGTAAATGAAACTGGATTATGCCCACTTTCAAAGAATGATTTTACCCTTGAACAGTTCTAGGAGAATGGGAAAAATTTTCGAATAGACAGACATGAATGAAAAAAAAAAACAAAAAAAACTGAAACTACGTGTATCACTTCTCATCGAAAACAAGTATTCTACATTTTAGTATTTCCACCATGTAAATAATCTAATTCAAGTAGGTATTCATGTTGCGTAATTAGCCTTGCCATGTGTTCATTTGTATTATGTGTATTTTAAGAGTCCCTACCAGAGCAACTTAATGGAAGAACACCATATTGCCACTATAATGATTTCTGCAGACATGCATTTGGGAATCTAGTGTGAACGTGTGTATGTGTTTGTGTTTGTGTTTTTTTTTTTTGTGTGTGTGTGTGTGTGAGAGAGAGAGAGAGAGAGAGAGAGAGATAAGCTTAATGTTTTGGTGGGCAACTCTTACAATGTTCTACAGCCTCAACCTATCATATGGTTTTGTGCTTTTCTTATTTTTTTCCTTAGGTGTAACATCATCTGCTATTGATTATATTTATCCTTGTTCTCAAAGCATATCATCGGCAACATTCTTGTTATGGAGAGAGTATTATTTCTTTTGCATTCCGAAATACTCTTTGTTGTCTTCGTTGACAAACAGTTAGGGAATCCATATTTCAATGACAAGGCCATCACAGACACTGTTTTATACTCGAATCCTTTACATTCATAATTTCAGTAGGAGTTCCTGATGTTGATCATAATAAGCATCCTTGAAGAGTGACCAATTTTGATCTCTGTTAAATTTCACATCGAAGAAAGACAAATACTCTAAAAATTTCATATATGGAGTTGGTTATGTCTCAAATTATGAAGGAAACGTACTTTTGTAGATGCATCTCTCTGATAAACATTCTTTTTTTTTTTAGCAGACTGATAAACGTTCTTTATTTCTGCTTTTTAAAATCTAATATTGCTGGAAGAATTACAATCTTCATCATGACTACATTGTTTTTCTTCACATATGCTTCTTTTCCTGATCACTGAAGTACTGAACAATTTTGAGTCTGAACTTTGTTTACTGTGGCTTCTTCATGAAGGCGGAATTGTAAACAACACGCTAAGGCCTCCCATTCCAGAGCGCTGTGATTCTGAGTGGAGAAAGTTGATGGAAGAGTGCTGGTCACCTGAACCAGGAGCCAGACCATCATTCACAGAGATAACAAACAGGCTGCGCGCCATGTCAATGGCACTCCAGCCAAAGCGGCACAGACAAGCAAATAGATGAGATTTCTACATCACCATGTAAGTATAACAATGTTTATAGAAAAAAAAAACATAAAAGAAGAGAGAGAGAAAAGAAAAACAGATCCACTCTTTATCAGTTGAGTTTGTGATATAGCTTCCATACAAGTATTTGTTGTAGAGTACTTGATTTTTGAACATCCAAAGGATAAATGAAATTCAAAAAAATTTCGTTTTCTGCAATAACATTCATCTGGTAGTCCCTTTTCTAGTTGAACAATTCTATACTATGATTGCTAATTTTCAATAAACTTGTTCTAATGCCTTCCACCACTTGGTGGTATTCCGACTTTAAGTCTATTTTGATGAAGGAACGGGCTCCCTCAACTAATCAAATGAGAACCAGACATCTATCATTGGCAAAGGATAGCGATTTTGATAACATGGAGTTGATCTCATAATAATCTTTTTTCTAGCTGATCGTTTGTTATAGCACCTGTCGTTCGGTTTAAACAACTAAGAAAAAAAAAAAACCAAAGAAGACTAAGCCCATTAATTTTGCCCAAAGGCAATTCCAAAGAGGCAACGACCCCAAAACCTTTTCACCCAAGAGAAGGTATTTCACATTGGTGATTTTCTAAAGGGGAAATTATCAATAAGTATTATTTTTCCTCATAAAAATTCTTTATGTCCTATAATTTTTATTTTATATCAATCAAGTCTTGTTTTTTATATTTTATATCAATGAAGTTTTAATTTCATCGTATTCCAATTTTACCCTTTATCTTTATTTACCAAAACCTTCTATTCTATAACGGTATCATAACACCGCCGACATAGTGGAGACTTTTCAATTGTCATTTGTTTCTTTGCTCAGCTACGATAACATAACAACGGAGGTTTTTTAATTGTCATTTGTTCCATTGCTTAACTACGGTAACAAGTTTACTTCCGACCACAACTCCTAATTTTCACTTTGACTGGAGTATTATTTATGTATTGCATATTCTATTGAGATTTGTCTTTGTGGTTTGGGATTATTGTATAAATCTAGATTGGATTTAACGTCTCTTAGTAGAGTTTTTTTGCCCTTTTATTCTCACGTTTTTCTCATTGGAAAATTATTAGAGCTAAGCATAAATTAAAACACAAAAAGTCGGGGTATTTATGAATAAAAAAAGATTATTGTTATAGCCCTAATAACTGAAGTATCTATAATTTTCAAGAGAAGAATAAAATTGGAACTAAATATAGTATTTATGATGTTTAGAATTTCAATGACATCAAATATCAAAAAATAGGATTTTATTGATATAAAATAAAAATGATAGGACTTAATAGATTTTTATGGGAAAAAGTAATACTTATTGTTAATTTTTCCATTCCTAAATCCAATCCACAACCGAAGTAGAGTCATAATATAAAATCAATTTTACCGTGGTATTGGCTTTAAGGCGAACTCGCGAAGATGATTGAAATCTCCATGAGTTTGAGAGGGAAGGAGAAAAATGAACTGGAGTGATTAAAAGAGTATTTAGAAAAAAAATCAAAGGAATTTAATATTTGAAAAATATGAATAATATATAAAATGATTAATTGTTTGAATAAAGCGATTAATTGTTTGTTACCTTATCTATGTCATTAGCATAATTATATAAACTCATTGTGATTCTGATGTACTGGCATGCAATCGATTTCACAATAAAACTCTCACTTTACATTATCTTCATGAATTATGGGGCTTTTCTATACTGAATCGTGGTCGATCCAATTCTAGCACCTATAATTTTGGAGAAACAAAAAACAGAAGCTAGAGTTGATGAACACAAACCATAAGATTCTTCCTTCACATTCACAACTAATGGGGAAGAAGGTGACCACAAGGGGCAGAATGTAAATATGATTTATCTTGAGGGAAATTTGTAATTTTAACCCCCCCTTCCCCTTCCTTTTTTTGTTAGTTTGAGTTAGAAGTATTTAAACCAGTTTATACGCACTTCGACTATTCTCTTTTTCGGTCCGATCAAAAATAAGTCATCTACGCCAGAATTAAAGTATTTATGTAAGATATGTCTTTCATGACCTGTCTTCAAGGGGTTGCTAAATTTAAATTTGAGATATCTGAATTTACACCTCATCCTTATTATTAATTCAACTACCTCTTAGATTTTTTTGATAGTTGGCACCCCTTTAAATCCCCCACCACATAAAACTCGAACCTGCATTGCCTGAGCAGGGGGATAATTCTAAAAGTTATTATTACTTAGTTGGGTCCATATTAATTGGATATTGTAAAGGTTAAAGTCAGCGTAACGTTAACTTTTGATATTATTTTCACAAAATACATGCATATGGATTCAAAGCCACTATTGCACAAGTGTTAGTCCAATGCTCGTATTACAGTTTACCTAACGTGTCCCATCGGCCAATACCTAGGAGTTATGGACGGGCCCCAACAGACAAGTAATTTAAATATACGCATAAGATCCAGAAAAAAAAACCCCAAATCATGTTATGTTTGAATTTTTTTTATATTGGAATTTCATTAATTAATAGTTAATTTCTTGATTTGTGAAAAAAATGGTTAAATTTATAGTCTAATGAGATGAGTCTAATATTATTAAGTGATCTATTTTAATGAGTTTATGTACATCTTTTAATTGATGTGATTGAAGTGGTTAAGTGTAAACATTAATCTAATTGGGGCTCGTAATGGGAGAGTCCAATAGATTTTATTATAAATAGCAAACTATGTCCCCTCTTACATTATAACCCTAATTTGGGTTGTTCCATTGAGAATCGTCTATTACTTTGAAGAAAGAGATGAAAATTTTGTCCTTTCACAAAAGAAATCCAGAGATCAGATATCATGGTTTATACATATATGTTCTAATACTTGTATATAATCTAAATCTTAAATTTAGGAGTTCTAAATTTCATATACTAAACATTAAAATTTTTTACATGTGATATCAAAGTCTATCGTATATAATTTTAGAACTCGATAAAAATAATATTACAATTTTATACCTATTTTTGTAATTATAGCTTTTAATTTCATGTTTTATCAATGGCCACGGCTCACAACCACAAGCGTTGACACAATAGGCATAAAAGTAACATGCGTTAACTGAATTTTTTTTTTATGAATGCAATATGCTTTCTTCATGAAGAATTAATTGCTATGGACAAGAAGAAAAAAAATTAAGGTAAAAGCATCATGGATGGCGGACAGTACGTCACAGGGGGGAAAAAACAAAAAAGGGTGAAAGCATCGTGGATGATGGCCAGTACGTCACAAGGAAAAAATAAAAAAAAATAAAAGGTCAAAGCATCATGATAGCAATTTTTTATTTTTTTTTCAAACTTTTATATGTTAAAACTTTTATGTTTAACTATACTCACTACTTTTGGATGACTCGTGTTAATGGCATGAGATCATATTGATGAATAGATGTAAACTTTATCTATACAAATTATTTTTTATGTTGATATAATTTTGATTGAATTAATTTAATTTGTAGAGAGTATTTGTACAATTCTAATTTTAGTCCCTAGTGATTTATATGATGAAATTTTTTTATAATCTACATATTATTTATTAAATATTGGTAGATGTGAATTTAATTACTTAGTTTTCAAAAGTAAAAATAGAATTAAGACCTGAATGCAACGATTGTTGATTGGTGATCTAAAGAGATATATATTGATTAGTATCTCATATTGATTGATCGCATGATATTTAATTATGAGCAATTTGTAATAAAATCCAAGTTTGAAAAATTCTATGAATTAAGATAGATGGTTGCCACCAAAGTGGTCTATTTATTGAAATTTATAGTTTTTATCATGTTTTTGTTCCGGGATAGTCTTTAAATTATAATATACAATTACCTGCCCAAAGGGGGTTGTTGTGTATTGTAGTTTGGAGATGTCATGAAATATTGTGGTAAAAGTGCAATAGTCTAGAAAGTTTATCTGTCCAAAAGAGATAAATTTTTTGAACCTTAAGCATTTTCATTGGTTAGTTTTATGAAAAAGAGGACTTGTAACATATTACATTCTCTGCCTAAAGGAGAGTTTGTAGTGATGTATTTGGATTCTCTTAATAAAATATGACTTATTGTGTTCAAAGTATATTTTATTTATTTATTGTCCAATTTTGCTAATTGTTTATATTCTAGTTACTTTGAACAGTCTATTTTATTATGAATAATAATAATGTCAACATTAAAGTTTTGATTGATTCTAATTATAAGAGATGAAAACAAGATATTGATTTTGTCCTGAGAATTGCTGATATAGACTTTGTCTTGAAAGAAAATGAACCTACTAAACCTACTAGTGAAAGCTCCCTTGAAGAAAAAAAACTTTATGTAAAGTGGGAGAAATCTAATCAGCTGAGTATGATTGTCATAAAAAGGTCTATCTCTGAACACCTTATGAGTAGATTACCTGAAACTAAGAATGTCAAGGAGTTATTTATCGCTGTAAGAGAGAGATACAAGGTATCCAATAAGACTGAAGCTATGGGCCTAATGAATGAATTAACGAGGATGAAATATAACAATGTAGGTGGTATTATGGAACATATCCTTAGAATGATCCATTTTCAAACCAAACTTAAAACCTCAAAATTGTTATTCCTGATGATTTCATTGTTGATCACACTCCTAACTCTTTGCCTCGTGAGTTTATCCAAATCAAAACTACCTACAATACCCAAAATGAGTCCAGAACAATAAATGATCTTATCTTCAAGTGTGATTTTAAGGAATAAAAACTTAAAAAGAAAGAAGTGGAACTGTCTTGTTTGTTTCTCAGCCTAAATCTAGTTTCAAATGTGGGTATCAGGAAAATAATAGAAAACCTAATCATAATGCTCCAAAGAATGGTCGACATTTCAAAAGGCATGGTACTGATCAGAATGTGGGAGGTCCTAAGGCTGCTATTCAAAAAAATGTCAAGTGTTACTTTTGCAGGAAACGATATCACAAGAAAAGTGAGTGCACTAGATTCAAGTCTTGGTTAAAAAAGAAAGTAATTCACTAGCCTTTGTTTGCTTTGAATCCAATTTAATTAATGTCATATTAAATTCTTGGTGAACTGATAATGAGGTTTTTGTTTATGTTGTCATGACTTTGCAGAGATTCACAAGCAAATAGAGACCAAATGAAAGAGAAGCTAAGTTTA